TCGCGCTCTCTCTCTCTCTCTCTCTCTCTCTCTCTCTCTCTCTCTCTCTCTCTCTCTCTCTCTCTCTCTCTCTCTATAGAGAGAGAATGTGATTACTTTTTAGCACACTTGAAAAGCAGTAATCCCCGCTGTATATTAATTCACCAATCACATTTCTCCTCGATCAAGGATTTTTATGTTAAACGTATTTTTTTTAATTTTTGTGTGTGTGTTAAAATTTTAAAAAGTGTTTAGATAAGTTTCAAGTTCATTTTCCTCATGATGTGTTTTTTATGCCGCTGAACAAACTGGTTCATTGCGCGCACCGCAAAATGTTTGTCAAGACCGGATGATGAACAGGATGTCGAGACCTACCAAAATAACATCAGCAACACACTCCGTAAGGCCATACCATCTCTGCTCCAAAATGAATGCGCATCTGTTGGCCCCTACGGATCCTAATTCCTTTGCTATTGGTCAAAATGAGGTCTCGTGAGGCTCACCTAATATGCTCACACCTCTCTTTCCTCAAAGTTTCTTTCTCCCAATGTTTTCGCTTGGAGGTGTTGGATTTTTCACTGTAGCTGTTCCCCCTCATTCTATTTCTTTCCCCTTCTTTTTGTGTGTCATTATCGTTTCCCCGGCTCGATACCTGCCTCCCTTGTGTAAACCTCGACTCTCTGTTATGCAGCCTTCGCCTCTTTCTCGAGTCTATGTATAGCCTCTCCCCGCGTGCATTCTTCACCTCGTCTTCCCTCCTCACTCGCGGAGGATTCCTCCCATTCTTAATGTGTGTATTTTCCGGCTCAGCCAGCCCCCCCTCCGCTCCCGTCGACTGCGTCGGCTTGTCGCGACAGGCCTCAGCGCAGATTGACTAAAGAAGGCACCCAATGTGATGTGCTATTTAGTGGACGCAGTGTGATCACGCCTTCATCTTAAATGACATTTCATCGTCATGAATCTGTACGTGTTGCATAATGCATTGTTCTCAGCGCTCACCCACGTGGGAATTTCCTTTGCTGCAACGTCACCACCTGGTGGTTGCAGTCGCCAACGCACGCCGTTGCTCACGCTGCACAGCTTTGGAATGTTTTTACCGACTCCCGTGCACGCTTTGCACGCCTTCTCAACTGCCGCTTCCCAAAATAAGTATTGCCGCCCCCCCCCACCCCCACCCCGTAGGCTGCACCTCCTCATCTGCATCCTCATCAGTGTTGTCATGTCACCCATTCCACGCGGCCGTTCTGCAGCGCAGCGAGCTTTGGCCATGATGTCATCGCTGTCCAATCGAGGAGCGTGTACGGTACCACCAAATTTTTACATACGTGCTTGTCATTGGATGAGGTTAACGTGTATGTTTTTTTTTTGGGGTGGGGGGTGGTCAATGTCAGTAAAAAGAGGTGATCGGTACCCCGAAGACTTAACCCAACAAAAACAAAAGGAAAAAATGACAAGCAACTGACATTCGATAAAGTGTTTCTTGTAACAGACAAAAAACAAGGAGGCAAATGTGTTTTGGTGCTCAGAGAAAGCGTGAGATGAAAGTCAAAGCTGTCGTGGTTTATCTTTGCCGCTGTAATGATCCGTCTTTCAGGTTCCCCTCGACAGGGGAGACCTCAGAAACATCAAATGCACTTTAGAAGTCTGTTTGTTCGGGTGTCCCCAACTGCTATCCACACTTAACAGCTGATCAATTGATGTTGTGTTCTTGGCGGATTTTTTTGTTTTGCTTTTCACACACATAAAAAAAAAAAGCCGTCTTTGCTTTTAACTCTTGCTGCAGCTGTGTGTGCTTTCACAGACCAAGACAAAAGGACAAAAGCTTCTTTCAAACAGATCCTGAAAAATTGGTGCATCAGAGCCGCAGCATCCGGTCCAGCTTGTGTCCATCTTCATTTTTTTTTTGTTGTTGTTTTGAACACAACCAAGCAACTGGCAAGGCAGCTTTATTTATATAACACATTTTAGACTCAAGGCAACTTGGCTTGCTTCACGCAAGCAAAGACGCAACACCTAAAAGCACTTGCAAACTGAACAGCGAAGGGCAATCAGACGCAAGGTCGGGAAAACAAAAGTCACTTCCCAAAATGACTGAGAACGTAACTCGACAACATTTAAACACATGAACAGAAAACTTTTAAGAACATTTAAAACGTTTTAAAAGTCAAGTTAAAAAAAAGTTTCTAAAATTAATAGGAAATAAATATTTCAAAAATGATGAGGGGCTGACTTCACTTCTGTTTGCAGCTTGTTCCATTTCCGTACAGCATAACTAAATGCAGTTTCACTCCGTTTACTTTGAACTCTGGGTTTTACTAACTGAGCCAAGTCTGTCGATCTCAAAGCCCTGCTACGTAGCAGTAAAATTGGTGGTAAAATGTATTTTAAAAAGCATCCCGCAATCCGATAATAGCCAAATTCACAGAAGGATCTCGCAAAACCTGTGTGTCACAGATCTGGAATAAAAGATCCGACAGCAGGCCGCCTTGGGTTTATAATACAGAACTCAGCAAATGCCAAATATTGCCCTAACAGTGTGTGACCCCCCCCCCCCTTATGGAATTGGACAAAAACCTATTTTCACACGAAAGAAATAATTTGAGCTTCAGAGTACGGTAGATCCAGTACGTGTCCGTCTTTGCCTTTCGCACAGAACACAGCAAAGTTGGATTTGGCCACAACTGCACGCAGCAATTTCCTTCAACAGAACAGGGCGAAAGTCGCAAGTGTCCGGTGTTAAAACTTAACACTCCTGTCCCGGTATCCCAGAATACCCCGACACCCAGGTGCCCTCCTTGACTTAATTACCATCCAGCGACATTGCTTTCAACACAACACAGAGGCAGAGTGAGTGTTGGCTTTTAAACTTCATTGTGCCTCTGTTACAGCTCTCTGGTTCATCCCCCAAAGGTCTAAATTTAATGGTTTCGACTACGTTTGAAAAAAGTCTTGACAGTGACGTTGCTTTCAACACAACAGGGGGCATCCAAGAATCATCGGATGTGATATCGCCTCCGACAGCGGAAATTTTGGGCGTGACGCGGTGCCCCTACTCAGTTGCTGCCGTTTTTTACGGAGCGGATATTGCGTGCCTCTTTTACAGCTCTGGTTCATCCCCCAAAGGTGGAAACTTAAATGGTTTGGACTACGTTTTAAATCAGTCTCGACAGTGACGTTGCTTTCAACACAACAGGGGCACACCCAAGAATCATCCGATGTGATATCGCCTCCGAATGCGGAATGTTGGGCGTGACGCGGTGCCCCCACTCAGTTGCTGCCGTTTTTTACGGAGCGGATATTGCGCGTGTGTGTAGACAACGTAAACAGATGAGAAGGCTGTCGTTGCTGATTAGTAAATAGTCTACCTGTGTGTAATTTGCTCAGTATAAATATGCTTGTTTCACGTCGGCCGCAGCGGTTCGTTCGAGCATACTGGCGCGTAGCCGCATCATGAGGACCAAGGAACTCAACATAGAGTTTGGGGATAAAGTAGAAGGCTGTAGTTGCTGATTAGTAAATAGTCTACCTGTGTGTAATTTGCTCAGTATAAATATATGCTTGTTTCATGTCGGCCGCGGCGGTTCGTTCGAGAATACTGGCGTATAGCCGCATCATGAGGACCAAGGAACTCAACATAGAGTTTGGGGATAAAGTTATGGAGAGTTTTAAATTGGGGTTCGGGTATTGGGGGGGAAAAAAAAACACCCCCTGTGTTGATAGTTTCAAGGAGCATCGTTCAGGGCATCATCCAAAAATGGAAGAGGAAGAAAAAAAAAAAGTAAAATATTAACCTAACGAGACTTGGCCGGTGCTACAAGCAGAGCAATGTGATGTTTTTTTTTGTTTTTTTTTTTTCTCAACGTAAATTCAATTGAAGTGAGACTGATGTCTGGTGTCCCCGCAGGCGGCTGGGCCCTGAACAGGAAGGAGCTGAAACTCCTGCAGACCATCGGCAAAGGAGAGTTTGGAGGTGAGTCGACACGTCACGATTGGGGTTTCGAGCCTGAGTTCAGTTTTTCAACCAATGTTATGTTTACAAATTATTGTTTCAAACAAGGTTTCGGGTTTCAAATTGCAGTTTCATGCTTTGGGTCAGTGTTTCACACTGGTTGGTGCTTTAAGCCGGGGTTAAGATTTAAATGGGGGTTCGAAGGCAGGATTAGTGTTTTAAGACCGGGACCTGCTTTCAAATCATGGGTTTAGTGTTTGACACTGGTGCTTTAAGCCAGGGTTAACATTTAAATGGGGGTTCGAAGGCAGGATTAGTGTTTTAAGACCGGGATCTGCTTTCAAATCATGGGTTCAACCTTGGGTTAGCGTTTCAAATGAAGGTTTTCAAGCAAGAGTTTTGATTTCAAACAAGAATAGGGTTCCGAGTTGGCCTTGCCAGCTGGCGGCGTTGTTGTTTTGAAATGGGGGTTTCAAATCAGGAGGTTCTGTTCATTGTTTTCAGTCAAAGTTTTAAGACAGGGTTTCCAAGAAGGATTTTTGAAAGGATCAGGCTCAGCCGAATGCTCAAGATTGTCTCCCTCGGTCTTGTCAGATGTGATGGTGGGCGACTATAGAGGGACCAAAGTGGCGGTGAAGTGTATCAAAAACGACGCCACGGCGCAGGCTTTCATCGCCGAGGCCTCCGTCATGACGTGAGCCGCATCTGGCACACAATCTCAAGATGGAGTGTCGTTCTTTCGAGATGAACCCCGTCATTTGTTTTTATGTGCGCGCAGTCAACTGAGACACAACAACCTGGTGCAGTTGCTGGGAGTGATCGTGGAGGAGAGGGGAAGTCTCTACATCGTCACCGAGTACATGGCCAAGGTCAGTGACACCGCAGGCTCTGCTGGAGGACGCTTTCGTCATGCCTTTGCGCAATTGCCTTTGCGTTGGACTTATTGTCGTTGGTTGCAATGCAATTGCAATTGAACATGGTCATCCCGATTATTGTGGATCGGTGGCGTGGTAGTCGGTACTCCTCACTGGCCGACTGACATTTGGTATCCCGGTGTAAGACTTCCAAAAAAAAAAAAACGTCTGATTGATTCCTTCATTAGCATATTAATTGTATGTAATGGTGCAATTCAAAATGTGATGTATATTCTCAAAGGCCTTGTTTCCTCCTCTGTGCAACAGGGCAGCCTGGTAGACTACCTGCGCTCCAGAGGGCGGACTGTACTCGGTGGTGACTGCTTACTGAAGTTCTCACTGTGAGTTATCTGAGTGCCTTTGTCATCAAATTAGAAAAAAATATATATATACAGCTTGCGGCACTTGCCCTGGTCTGCATTGTTGTTGTTGTTGTTGTTGTTGTTGTTTTTTGGACGCATGGCCCTTGCCTAATAAGTTCCAGTTGGGAATTAGTCTCTGAACCCAATAATCTGAATGATTACAGTAGAGTTTTAAGACAATTTTAGGATTTGAATTTAGGGTTGGGGTTACAAGCCAACGTTAAGGTTTCAAGGCTGGGTCTGTGTTTCAAATTCAGGTTCTAACCCAGGATCAGGGCTTTGAGCAAAGGTTTGGTTTTCCGATGAGCCTTTCAAGCCATTTCAAACGAGTTAACAAGTTTGACGTGGTTCCAAAAGCAGCTTGCTCGCAGTCAATACAGAGGCGGAGCTGAATACAGAGTAGCATGGGGCTAGAGTACGAGCACATTTTCCGTCCCGACCTAATCTGTTCTTCGCAACTTCATATGTCTCTGGACCACACTGAAAAGTCCGATTAGAAGTCTTGTCAAACCGGTACCACATACAATCGGCAAGTATGTCATGTCAGGCTGTTGTGGTCGTAGTGCAATCATCTCCTTGCTAAAAGAATTAAAAAAAAAAAAAAACAACAATTTCTCCCATTCAGTGACGTGTGCGAGGCCATGGAGTACCTGGAAGCCAACAACTTTGTCCACAGAGACCTGGCGGCCCGCAACGTGCTGGTGTCGGACGACAACATCGCCAAGGTCAGCGACTTTGGCCTGACCAAGGAGGCCTCCTCCATTCAGGACACCGCCAAGCTCCCCGTCAAATGGACCTCCCCCGAGGCTTTGAGGGAGAAGGTGAGAATTACTTTCAGTCTGTGTTAAGTGGCAGTCAGGTCGATGAACTTGGCATCAATCTGACTCGCTCTGGCATTCCTTTTTTTTTTTGTTGTTGTCCCCTGCAGAGGTTTTCCACCAAGTCAGATGTCTGGAGTTATGGAATCCTCCTCTGGGAGATCTACTCCTTCGGCCGTGTGCCTTACCCTCGTATTGTGAGTACCTGAATTTAGTTTCAACAAAGATTTACCATCATACGTCTGTCTAGTATATGTGATTCAAATTTGGTAGACTCTGAAAAATCACACTGACAGTTGAGTCTTTCTCAAGGCTTCCTGGAAATGGCCAAAATGATGCTCAGCGGGTTCAACTCCCAATGCCTGATACCGTGCGTCTTTTGAGGCATGGCATCTTAGACTTTTTGTCACGTGTTATATTTTCTGTTTTTCAAATTGCGTTACGGGTTCATAATCTATCGATATTTTTGTCAATTCATACTGATTACGCTAATTCAAGGAGCTTTTTTTGACCAGATATTCTATAGACAATAACACGGGTTTTCCCATGTTGACCTGTCCTATATTTATTTATTTTTAATCGAACCCCCCGACCATTGCGTCGTGTTTCTGGACTGTGAGGCCCTGGCCTGCAGGTGGCAGCATTGTTCACTTTTGCACGTCTCCCCTCTCCCGTCTGGCAGCCGCTGAAAGAGGTTGTGCCCCGTGTGGAGAAGGGTTACAAGATGGACGCCCCCGATGGGTGCCCGCCCGTGGTGTACGACCTGATGAAGCAGTGCTGGACCCTCGACGCGGCGGTGCGGCCGTCCTTCCGCATGCTGAGGGAGAAGCTGCAGCATATCCGGGCCAAGGAGCTCTACTTGTGAAGCGGCAGGCGGGCAGGAGGGTGATGATGATAGGGGTGAGGAGTTTGATTGGGGGGGGTCGGGGGGGATAACAAACCAAGGGACCACAGCAAGCTTTCCTCCCGCCGTCCCTGGATGCCCGCCACCTTACCTGAAAGGACCCACTTCTGTTGGTGTTGTAAAGCTTTTGCCCAGTTCACCGCTTTTTTTTTTTTGCTCCTCCTCTTCCTCTCCACCTCTGTTGAACACGGCATTAAGTGGAGGGGAGGCTGGCCTTTTCCTCCACCTTTGTCAGGTGCTTGCTCTTCCAAACTGCCCCTTTCCCATCTCTCCCCACCCCCACCCCCCAGCCCCCTGCATGTCCCACTGCCGCCTCAGTCTCTCGCCCTCCTCTTTTTTCAGGGAGGTTATCAAACCAGTTTTCTAGTGCCGTATTTCTTTCTCCCATTTTTTTTTTTTTTTTTTTTTTTTTTTCCAATGTCGAAAAATTTTTCTGGGGTCCAAGAGCCAAGATGGGCGGAAATGGAGGAGGGGGCAGTACGAGGACATGGAGCTGTCTCTGAATGGTTCATCATACGTGGGCTTGTTTTTTATATCAAATATATTTAAAGGATTTAAAATAAAAAAACAAACTGACTGGGGCAGAGAATTTACAAAAAAAAAAAGTTAGGGCGGGAGGGCGCGGTTGGGAATGGTGGTGCATGGTGTGGGTGTGTGCGTGTGTGTGTGTGTGTGTGTGTGTGTGTGTGTGTGTGTGTGGGTCTGAATGGTTCATCATACGTGGGCTTGTTTTTTATATCAAATATATTTAAAGGATTTAAAATAAAAAAACAAACTGACTGGGGCAGAGAATTTACAAAAAAAAAAAAGTTAGGGCGGGAGGGGGCGGTTGGGAATGGTGGTGCATGGTGGGTGTGTGGGTGTGTGTGTGTGTGTGTGTGTGTGTGTGTGTGCGCGGCTGTGTATGTATGAGAGAAAGTGTGCATGTGTGAGAGGCCTTCGGTTCAACTGTCAGTGCTTTCAATGTTCATTGTTTTATTATGCTATCATGAATAAATCATTCCATCTGAGTAGACACGTGAAAGCACTGCTATCATTGATTTGTAATGTAAACACAACACGACGGCGGACACGCAAAGTATTCACAGTTCTTCACTTTTCTCCACATTTGTTCCAGCCTTATTCCCACATTCTACACAAATCACTGCATAATGACAACATGAATATTTTTTTTTAATGAATTTTAAAAAAAAATGACAGCCACAAGTATTGACAGCCTTTACCTTTCGTGTTATGGCATTTAATGTTGCATTTTGAGGTGAAAAATATGAATGAAATCCATTTTGAATGTTCTAACTGCAATTGAACCATTGTGAATATTTTCGGGATGCCCTGTATGTCATCACTATGGTGTGCTGTAAGTGTCCGACCCCCTCGAGGTAGTCCAGAGTCATATGTGATGATTCCCAGGAGTCTTTGCGACAGCGGCGCAGTTACATAACATCACAACGCCTACGGCCACGACTGTCCTGTCATATACCGCCGCCATTCGGGCAAGACCGCCCGCATCCGGCCATACGTGACATCACTGCACACGTGTGAAGGTATCCTGCCTGAAGGACAAATTACCCATGATGCTTTTTCACTATTACACACATGCGTAAAAATCCACGCTATACCATTCTCAGTTTACAGTATATTTACTGTATATGTGTACAGTATATTTATGTATATAATGTGTATGTGTGTGTTTATGTGAGTCATTCCAGAATTGGAGGATATTTGGGCTTCAAAATGCTTTCCCAAAAAATATTTTCTGACTTATACAGTATTCATCAATAATTGGTGATAAACAATCAAAGGTTTGATTGTTTACATGATTCATTTGGTGTTTACGATACCCGTCACTCATCACTGTAACAGGGTTGCTGCAAATGTTGAGTTTGCTCTCCGTAGTTGAAGCTGGCTTTTTCGCAAGCTGTTACTGCTGACCAAGAGGACGATTTTACTTATGTAAATACGTAAAGAAAAGAAATTGTAAGAATTGTTTTATTCTGATCGTGTGCGTAAGGCAAACTTTTATAAAAATGTGAAATATATAAGAGGACATCGTGTACCATTTCGCTGTCCATTTTTGGGGAAACTTTGATGATGTCAAGTCCAGCGTATCATATGATTTACCGCTTTTCTATTCTTTGACCATGCAAAAAAAAAAAAAGTTCTAGAAACAGGGTTGTCTGCATGTTGTGGGACACATGACCCATGAATAATAGTAATAAGGATGATTTAAAATGTTTATTAAAACAAATGTACCAACAGTTATGAGACGGCAATAAAACAATATCCCAAAAATGACATTTGAATTTCATTTTATTAGTTTTATTTGAGATTCAATTTGGTTATTAGGGAAAAAAATTGCATTTTTGGGGTTACTCCAAATTTATTTGGTATTCTTTTCAATTTTTTTTATTACCCCGAACAAGTAAATGTACTCAGAAACTGCATGTTTTAATATTGAGCATGTTGATTATTTAAAATTTGATGGGTGGGATGTAAAATGTCCTCCAATTCTGGAATGACCCACGTTATATGTTTATCATGACTAGACAAAAATAAATCAATCAATCTGAAAAAGTTACCATCCAAAAAGAAACTGTCAGCCATTTTGATTCAAATTGGCCATCTTTAGGGTCATTTTGGCCCTTTTCAAATCAGGGTTGAAAGACAAACGGCAAATAGGTGAGGTTTTCAGGACAGTCCTCCAGATTTTGTCTAATTGTTTCTCGGTTGGAAACTTCCATACAGAACAGATGGGTGACGCTACATCGCAGCATGAAATTCTAATTACTTGTTCAGGTTCACCAACAGCTCTTTGAGCAAGACAGCAGGAAGTCAAAGCTGAACTTTTCCTTTTTTTCCTCCCCCGTCGGTTCTAAAGGCGTTCGCACATTATTTCAGGCTGCTTCCTGACGGCGTCAACCTACTCCCCTCAATCAGCATTCATATCCCGCGGCTTCCTTGAGGGGGCTCGTCAAATCCTTCTGCGTGGGAGGAAGTCAACCTGCGTCGTTGCAAATATGGTCCCAAAAAAAAAAAAAGTAATTAATGTAGAGTGATCCGGGCCTCACAGGCCGATGACTCGCGCGCCTTTCCAAAATTTCATGTAAAGCGTAACTGTTAAACAGAATCCGCAGCATCCAGACCTCGGTCGTCGTCATCATAATGTCACAGCATCGATGGAACCGAGTCAGGTCCGGCTTCGGTTTCGCCACGGGTTGAAAATAAATAAATAAAAAGTTGCTGTAATCTGATTAATTATGCTTGCTAATGTGTCAGAAGCTCAGGTGCACATGTACTCATTAAAAGCTGATTAGCACACATCCCCCTCACAAGACTGCTCATCAGGATTAGTTCAACATATTTACCGCCTTTAAGTACGCCGGAGGATGAACGGTGTTCAAAAGGACCGCAGATCATTCGACGACGGCAGCAAACGCACATACTGACGAATTTGACGATTTCGCCTCCTACATGCGATTAAATGTAGCAAAGGCCCGATCGTTGGATGACTTTTAAGATTATCCTGGGTGATTATCGTGTGGTGTGTTGAGAGTGATTATTTGTCTTACTGCTCTCTTTGGAGCTTCCGGCAGTTATGCTGTCTTCCACAAGTCAGTCTTGGTACTACTAAAGTACTCTGGGTTTGCTTTTCACAAATTCACCAAGCGGTTTCGCCCCCCTACCCCTGCGGAAACTATTCTGAAACCATAGTTGCCCGACCAGAATAATATATCGCAATTAGCACAAATTCAACTTCACACACAATTGTGTAAGTTGAGGGGTTCGTAGTTTTGGAATGGATAGCTCTACGTTAAGAATGGGCAAAAGGAGAGATGGACTTCGTTTGAACACAGCTTTATTTTTCCACGTCTGCTCCTCAGTGCGTGCGAGAACACACCTCCTTCCGGCTACTCAAACACTTCCTGTTTCCTTCAGCCAATCAGACGCATGTTTATGTTGAAACATAAACCTGTTTAAGAAATTATTAAAGAGAATATTAACATCAAAGACAATACTGTAATGTCCAAACATAAAATTATAAATAATTAACAATTGAACAAAAGCTTACAATTGTAACAAGTGGCTATTACCGTTGCATGCTACAAGCTAGTAACTTAGCCAGCATCAGTTTGCGGTATAGACACCAGTGATTGTTATCAACAACCACCACCATACTTTTTAACTAACCATAATGTCTTTGTGGTGAATTGCAAAGTGTCTCTTCAGGTTTGTTGCCCCCACCGCCCACCTTGTTTCCACATTCCGTCCTTTCAACTAAAATCAAGCATAAGGGTTGTTTTTTTTTTCTTTTATCCTTTTCATATGCATAACAGCGTTGCATGAGAGCAAAATGCAAAAATGTGTCCATGTATCACGTCATCTCTGTGCAGAGCATCGCCTTCATTGCTTCACTTTTATGCAGCGGTTATTCCGCCGTGCACTGGCAACTAGCCACATACAGGCCTAGTGTTATTTCGTGGTGAATCGCAAAAGAATTTAATGCAGACATATTTTGACGATTGCCGTAGCTGCCGCACAGCGAATTTTACATTTCCACTGTGCATGCGCACCACTGATAATACAGTTGTGTGTAAAAAAACATGTAAAGCGCATTGACTGCCTTCATTGTAACAGTTGACTGGAATCCTTTCTGACTGTTGACTGTGATGTTTTTGTGCACGTTGTCTGTGCCGTGATGTAACTTCCCGGCTGGCCGGCGGCGGTCATGTTGGCCGCCTTTTGACTTTGGCAAATATCAAGGTCCTCCCCCGAGTCGCGTCGGAGCATGTTTTTTTTTTTTTTTCTGCGCTGCTTGTCAGCATGAATTTGCATTGCGTTCTCCACATTTCACCTCCTGTTCCCTCCCTCTAGCATGCTGCTTGCAATGCAAGGGAAGGGCAAACGGCCCCGCGGCTTCTACGAGTCGCTGTGTCGCGTCCTGTGAACTGCAGCGTCCGCGGAAAATGCAGCTCCGGATGTTTTTGCTGCTTGTTAGTGGTGTTACATGGGGAAAAAAAGGCAACACATTAAATTTCGTTGAAGATCCAGATAAAGCGATTTTATTACTTTGTGTAAAGTGTCTGGACATCTTTACCGGTACTTTTGAGGGGGGACATTAAAAGCCAGGTCAACATATGGCCACATCGCACTTAGCATTGCTAGCATGCAAAACTGTTTCGATCAACACAATGCCGGGTGTGTTAGAAAAGTTCAAGGACAGGTCTCACAAATTACGTGTTTTCCTCCCCACTGCGGGCCAAATGATCAACCAGGAGGTTTGTCAGAGGGTTGTAACTGGCTAACAGCTATGCCCATTAGCTCAACCTTGCTAGCTAATGAAACCAGTCAGCGCCTGTTTTATGAGGTTGTTACATTCATCTTTTGAACTAAAACGTGGTAATAAATCTCGCCAGCCCACAGCGTCATACTTAAAGTTGTATAGATACGTCTTTTAACTGAGTCTTTTCACACAATTATCTGTATCTACTTCGACTTAGTAGACTGATTAATTTTGCCACCTCTGCATTGACCACTACAGTTTCACTTCCAGTATTATATAACATTAG